GAGAATACAGCAGGGTCGTGTCGCATTCCGAAGTTAAACAGAATATTTTGAAATGCAAATAATAAGAAATTAATTCCTTCTCAATTTAAACTAACCCCCTTGATGATTTTTTACACATACTCGTTCTTCAGGGGTTGAGGAGTAATAATCTCTAATAAGTAATTTTTTATTTGCTATAATGTTAAAATATACGTACAAAAAATATGTTTCCTTAACATTAAATATATAAAGGTATAATAATACCTTTTATTATTTTCTTGGTCTCAAACCAAGGTATATACCATTTTGTGGATGCAAATGCGTGGTAGTTTTGCTTAGTTTTAGAGGTATTTCTGTATGTTGTATCACAGATATTTCAAACTTGGAAATAATATCAAAGAAAACAGTTTTAACTATAAGTATACTTAATTCCATTGCTAAAAAAAAAAATAAAATAAAATAGAAAGATATAGGTACATATCATTAATTTTTTTTACCTAAACATCTTCGTGGTCCTATTCCAAATGGAAAGAAATTAAAAGTGTTCAATATTTCGTCCAGATCCTTATTTAAAAATCTGTCAGGATCGAACTTTTCCGGACAAGGAAATTGCCTTTTGTCATGATGAAAACCGTAAACAGGAAGTAAAACCGTGTCGCCCTTTTCCAGTCTTATGCCACATTCGGATTGTCTTTTCACCGATAAAATGTAATCTTTAGTACAAATTCTTTCAATTTGTACCGCGCTGGGCCATTTCCTTAACGTTTCTAATAATAAGAAGAAATAATCTTAGAACAATGCCAAAATGTCGTCATTTACTTACCTAAAACCACTGCGTCAAAGTAACGTATTTTCGAAAGATTTTCAAAAGTCACTCTATCATCAGAGTCCTCGTAGAATATGCGGTCAATTTCTAGTTCAAGTTTTTTCTGCATTTGGACGTTTAGAGCCAACTCGTACGCCAGAAAACTCATGGTTTTAACCAACGGTTCAAAACCAATGAAGAAGAAGGACAAAACTTGAGCCAAAACGTCGTCTCTTGATAAATTATCGTTTACTTCGTTAGCGTTTATCAATAAATGCGAAAATGGGGAGTCCTCCAGTTTGAACTTTTTGTATATCAAATCATTAAAATATTCAGAGACATTCGTCGGATATAATGGAATTGCATTGAAAATCTGAAAGAGTATTTATTGCTCTAATAAAAGAAAATAGATATCTGTAGTCAAAAGTTCTCTTATCGACCGGGGTCATACGATTTATCAATCATCATCATCATCATCAAAAGGTCGTCAGTCCTAAGACTGGTTGGACACGTATCTCCACTCTTTCCTATCCTGAGCTAAACTTCTCATTCCCCTAAAACTAGAACAACCCACATCCTCAATTATTTGCGAACAGTAATCTAACCTAGGTCTACCTCTACCCCTCCTAACTCCTGTTTCTGCCACTAATATGTCTCTGACTAGACCTTCATGACTAAGAAGGTGTCCTACCAACTTATCTCGCCTATTTTTTATTGACTTCCATAGAGTCCTCTGTTCTCCTATTCTTTCCAATACCTCTTCATTTCTAACCTTTTCTACCCACGATATCCTCATCATCCGCCTATAACACCACATTTCGAACGCTTCTAACCTTTTCTTTTCCGCCGCTCCCACGGTCCATGTTTCGCACCCGTACAACGCCGTGCTCCAAACATACACCTTTAACAACCTTTTTCGAATTTCTAAATTAACCGTTCGCGAGCATAGAAGTGACTTCTTTTTATTAAAGGCGACACTACCCTGCGCTATCCTCTGCTTTATATCCCTACTACTCCTTCCATCCTGACTTATCTGACTTGCTAGATATCTAAAATCAGCCACTTCTTCTAATTTTTCGTCTCCTATCTTTATATTCGCTCTTTCCCTACATTTTCTTCCCCTGCATACCAGTATTTTAGTTTTACTTTTATTTATTTTCATACGATTTATCAATGACAAACTTATGTTTGTTTTTCTTTCATTTCTGCTAATGATGCCTTGCAAACAGGGGCTGATTTAGGATTATCTCGACTGGAGATTACCCTTTAAAGATCTTTGAGCAACATTCAACATTCGTTATTATCGTGACCCCTTTTTGTTGTAATTTTAAGATAATGGTCTTAGACAAGACATATCGTTATGAGAATTGATAAATTCTAGAAAAGGACATGTCAAATAATGTTGAATTTTAGTTTTCCTGATCCCGAAGGGGAGTTCGGGTCCGAACCCCTTTCGTGGATTCGCTACTTCTCGCAAATAAAATCCGTGGGATTAAATAAAAAAGAGACGTACGCCAATTAAGTAGGAGAATAGACGAAAGATAGGTAATCCTTAAAGGGGGGGGGGTCGCGACCCCCAGGAGGGACGTGGAAAATGAAAAATATTTGGGGGGTTTAAGATTTTTAGATATCTTAATGTTCGATAGCTTGTTTGGTACCAAAAAGGGCAGTCATTTTCAATGTATTTTTCGAAAGTAATATTAAAAAGAGGTAAACAGGATGTCATATCAAATCTAAACATGCCAAATTGGTAATACTCGAATTCCGAAGTTAAACAGAATATTTTGAAATGCAAATAATAAGAAATTAATTCCTTCTCAATTTAAACTAACCCCCTTGATGATTTTTTACACATACTCGTTCTTCAGGGGTTGAGGAGGTCCTTTTAAAATTTGAAATGCAAAAACTAAGATAGAGATACAATAACAGACTATTCTTTACCTACTCTCACCTAGTGACGTCAATAACGCTCCTACCTGCGTGACGTCACGATCCGATGAGACCGCAAAATAAATTAGCACCAAACAATAATTACAAAAACAGCAATAAATAATAAAAGTTCTTACGTTTTTAAATATTGGAAGGGAGTCGCCTAGGAACATTTTCATTGATGTCGCCCCTTCGGTTTTCAAAATTTGTCGAGTCATCTTGAAAAATTCGTTGTCTTTGTCTCTTAAAGAGTTGCACTTTTGATCAAAAACAACGGCGGCAATAACGTCATTCGTTATTCGTCTGAAGAAGTCTACAGCTTCGAAATTTATCGGCTGTTTCTTTTTTGAAATGTCTTCGAGTAAATAATTTGTCAACGATTCCATCGTCAATGAGATCGTTGAGAAAACGTTTTCTTTTGGAAAATTTTTAAAACAGTTGTCCATACAGGGCTGCATTCGTTTCCAATCTTTGTGATTGGAAAAATACAAATTTCGACCTAGAAGGCTGTCTAATTTTAGTAAGCCATCGGGTTTACGATCGCTAAACTTTTCGAAATTTTTTGTAAAAATATCTTCCGCAAGTTCTCTGTCTCTTATCAATAATTTGGGTTTGCTAAGTTCAAAAACTCCATTATATCTAAAGAAAGGCTTATTTAATATTACATTGAATAAAAAAGCATGACAAATACGTCAAGGGTTCTACGGGTACCTTATCAAAAACATTGTTAAGAAGAATATTGTAATTTTACGGTTTTGGGAAGCAATTTTTGATGCTACTTTAGCATACAGTCTACCTCTGGTATGTAATTTATCTTATAATTAACAAAAGAATGGACATGATACGACTCACTACGTTCGTGTTGTCTTTTCCTATCGTATCTATCCTTTTTTAACCAACTAGGTAGAAGCATTAATTGATAAAGTTCGAATCATAAGGTTACAGTAGATGAAGACAACACGAACGAAGTTGTTTACACCAATATCAAGTAGACCGCTTATCTACTAAAGTAGCACGAAATTTTTGATACAGAACCCTGGAAAAATTAGTAAAGAAAATATAAATGATGATTTTATAGCGGATGCGTACCTGTTTTGTGGAAATTCGTTGTACAATTCTTTAATTTTATTGGGATAAGAAATTTTTCGAAAAATAACACTCCAGAGGTTCCCAAACAGTGGAACCGGTCTCGAATAAGTTACACATTTTCGTCGCCAAAAGCATAAGTGCTTCCAGTATTTACACAGAAAAATGTAACTGATTAAAACAAAAAATGATAACCATATCATATTTTTTGAATGTCTAAAATTAAATCATTTTTTTATCGAAGGTATGATAAAAAATAAAATACAATAATGTTTACTTTTTCATATAAAGTACGTTTTTAAACTAAATATTATAAAGTTAAACAAAATAAAAAAACGCAATAAAAAAATGATGTTCCTTTTGGATATTGCAATCGTTTTATAAAATATATAAATAATTGATCATAAAGATTGGTTTTTATAAATAATCTTTATGAAATCTTTCATTGGCATTTAGAAAAAGCAAAAACAGTAATTCTCTCTAACAATCATGCATGCACTTTAAATTACTTAATTAATTATTATGAGTATGTTAATTGACTTACATGTAATCAAACGATTTAAAAAAATACACTGTTTAATGCATTATGTGACAACAACAAATATCAACAAGTGCAGGTGGAAGACTGAGTACGTTTGTAGAAAACAAACGAACAAATTATGCCGGTCTTATTAAATATACGTACATGCATAGGTATAAGTTGGCCATGAATTAAAATATGTGTCCCATACAAAATAAGTTGTAGTAGTATAGTAGTGGTGGTAGTAAGTAGATAATACATTCGCCTATTATTATTTTCTACCTAACAAAAATTAAATTTTTTGGTACTTCATCAATTAAAATATACAAGGATTGTATAGAAAGTATCCCATGGATTCAGAACATTCAGCGAATTTTTTTACTAATTTGTATGTTTTTCAAATAATAAATTAGATCATAGATATATTTTAAACATCATTCTCTGTAATTTTTTTGTCGATTATCCATAAATTATTGTAATTACAATATTTAGACTAATGTTCTATGTATTTATACAATTATAATTTTATGAAAATTAAATAAAACAGTCACTTATGTAAATTACTGAATTGTTAATTCTATAACTAAAGAAGTATCTAAGTGGTGAACAGCCATATAACAGAATAATTTGGTAAACATATTGTTGTTGTTTAAGGTGTTACTGCCAAACAAGGTTTTTCATATTTTTTTTGTAAATTCTTCGGTGTTTTTAACGTTCTTATTAATAACTTTTTACCTTTCTGTGTTACCCAATGTCAATTAACGAATTAACAACATATAGTTGTTATTTAAATAAACTAATACATAATAAGTAAAAAATAATAACGATAAAGTGACTTTGGGTGGATTTTTTTTTTTTTTTTAAACACTACATACTTCAGAAAGTAGAGTTTGTGGCCGTAGTTTCTCCATGATCAAATACAAAAAGTCTCTGTTGAGTTGGCAAAAGAATTTAAATACACTAAGTCTACGATTCCGTTTATTTTTTTTACGTAACATGTATGTACTAATACATACAATTATTTATTTACATCTGTATGTATAGTATTTTCTGAAAGTAATCGAACATTTCTAGCCTGTGCTTCCCAAAACAATAAAAAGAAGTGTTCACTATTTATAACAAGAGCTAACTGGTTACAAGAGGGACTTTTTCTGAAATTTTTTAGTAATTTCGAAAAATAGAAATTAATTAATGTAACCATTGTATAACAACTAACCAATATATATGGAAGGGAGTCGCCTAGGAACATTTTCATTGATGTCGCCCCTTCGGTTTTCAAAATTTGTCGAGTCATCTTGAAAAATTCGTTGTCTTTGTCTC